TTGTCCCTATTTTACCCAGCACTGGGTTGTATTTAACCCAGCATTTTTTAGAGTGTATGATAAAAAGGAAAAACTGGTCTCAGAATTTCCAGTGACTAAAGTTTTGTTGAAAGGAAATTCAGCGGATGAACAATAAGAAAGCTTCGGGTTCTTGATGCAATGCTTTCCAGTCTTTTTATCAGTTTCACTCTAACAAAGACATGTTATCCTAATTCATTAGAATGACATGGAAAATATGTTTCTTTCTCTAATCATGCTATACCTTGTAGAACAGTTTTGAAAAAAATATATAGAATATAGAATATACACTGAAAAAAATGTAGGATTTACTTGAAAAAAGCTTGGAAACAATTTACACCCAGAAAAGGCTAGTTAATTTACAAAAAATTGACAAGTAAAAGCCTAAACATAATTATTGGTAGCTTTAAAGACATTTTTAAGTTAAGTTTACTTGGGAATTCCCAGTAAATTTGATTGACTCTTTGTTTGTAAATGTTACTTAAGTAATGCTTATCACTGTAAAAAAGTGTGCTGTTAAATAACAGTAATTTACTGCACTGAAAAAAAGCAACCATAAAACAGTGTAAATACAACTTGAAAACAGTGACAAATTTAACCTTTTGAATTATTCATGCCCCACTGCATGATGGGAAATATGGGATCATAACTTTGATATTTACTTGAATCCTTGTAAACATAAACAATTCAAATTAAAATATACTTATAAGTTCAAACTTGAATTTCTACAAGCTTAAATTGAGTACTAATATAGAATTTACTTAAATATTTTTAATTCTTGCCTGACCCTAAATTATTTAATGTAGAAATTACATTTGTTTTTATGTAGTATTTACTTCACCACAAAATCATTTTTATCAGTATAGAATATATTTTTAATATACTCTTTTATAGCTACAATTTATTTAGGTTATTTCAAAAATGCTGGGTAGAGCCTTTCAAATAGAGGATTTCTGAAGACTTAGTGATTTGGGTAGTAGCAATTTGTTTATACTAAAGAGAATGAGAAATGAAAGCGACCAACAGGCGAACAAGAATGTTACATTGATTTCTTCTGTTTTTATTTCCTCTAATGAGCCCGAAGCATTGTGGCCTTGATAAGTGGGACAAATCTCACCTGACACTGTAGTCCTTCTCGTCTTTAGTGTACTCGGTGCAGATCTCTTCATTTGTGGGCTCCGTTAGGGATGGCAGCTCATCTGCAGTGTACCGTAGTGAGGCCAGACAAAGTTTCCTCTCTTGACCCTGAAGTGTGCAGCACTGCTCGATGCCTGGATGTTTAGGGAATGGAGAGTCCTTTCCACATGACTTCTCAGAGATCTCTGTAGCCTTGGAAAAAGGTTACTATGTAAATAAAAAGCAAGCACACAACACAAATGCAAAGGCAAAACAACACCACAAAATGAACAATTTTGTCTAGTATGTGATGTCTTTCATGAAATGTGTTTCATTACAAATCCATTTATCATTGTTTCTATATTGGAGGACTGATTTTAATTAATTAATTTATTTTTCATTTAATAGTTTAATTTTGCATGGCTTCATGGTCCTTTAATGGCATTGAGACAATCAGATACATCATAAATGGTTATTCATATGTGCTATGAAGCTTAAGCCTGCAGTGTTTGAAGCTCATTGAAACAGTCCTTGTATTTAGAATTGCAAATGCAATGTGAGCAATCAGCAAGTTGAAGCAGATGAGGACATTCTGCTCAAGTAATTATTTTTTAATGACATGGATGTAAGCTGTCCCCAGGGAAAGACACTGATACAATGAATGGAGCAGCAAGTAACTATGTGCCCACACCAACTAACATGCACTGTAATTAATTAGCATTGAAGTGTGCAGAGGATTGGGCCTGGAACTGACAATGGAAACGTTTCCGGAGTTGAGCTGGGATTGCCTCCAGTCAGGATACATGTTATTATCCCCATGCACAAATTAAAGGAGAGTTGAATTTGTATTAATAACATAAGATACTTTCTTTGAGTAAAGCCTGCATCTAAACAACAGTAGGCCTATACTACAGAAATTCATTCTCTAAATCACTTATCCTCTGTAGGGTTTCGGGCATGTGCACTGTATATCCCAGCATCTTAGTGTTTTTATGAAAACATATCCTGTCGTATCTGGCACCAAAACATTAGCGGCAGATCCTAAAAGTGTGTGGTTGGGCCTCCATGTATTGGATTTGTTGGTCCAGCAAATCCTATAGATATGAAGAATTTGGAGGCCAGTGGAATGCCTTGATTTTTTTTTTTTTTATATTCACATTTTATATTCATTTTATTTTTCATTTTCAAAATAATTAATATCTATTGAAATTCATATATTTTCACCTTTGTAGATGACGGTTTCCAAGTTAACCATTTTAAGTTAGTGGCATTTTGCCACTTCTTATTTTTTAGGATATTGGAGATAAAGGACAAGAATCAATAAGGACAAGCAGGGAGGAATTAGATCGAGAAATGCTATGAGGCAGATTTAAACTCACGTCACTCCCATAAGTACCACAACTCAATATGTCAGAGCAGTTGCTAGCAAACGTGCCACTGCTCAGATTCAAACATGCTTTTATACCAGCTAGAATTTTAGATTTCTCTAAAAATAGATAATTTTTTCTTCATTGACAGCCACTGCAATGGCCTGGCTAACAATCCACTGATGTACTTACAGAATGAAAATAATCTTGATGACAGGAACACATGAAAATGTAATGAAATGAGCTTAGCTGTAGCTGATGATGAAAACCAATGCTGAGAGATTTTGCAAGATGAGCTTTATACAGTCAGACATAATAAAAAGCATAACGTATCAATGAGAAGACCATCAAGGGTGAAAGACTGACAAGATGGGCTGTGTGAGTTAGAGATGTAATTAAGTTAACTACCTCCAGAACATTCACAGTAATTAGAATGTGAGCATGAGTCTATTTGAGGTATGTTGTGCTAAATCTAGCATGTGATTCTGCTCCAGTTCTGCTTAATGTTCAAGTCTCCGAAAGCACAGTCCAGAAGTAATTGACACGATACAAATGTATATCCTACATTTAGCTATGGTGGCTTTTGGTATCTTAATGGTTTTAGCTATCATTAACTCAGCCCTTTAGCCCTTTTGTGTCTTAAATTGATTATATTTGTTGGTTGATATTTTTTGGCTGTGCAGCACCTTGGTCAGCACACGTTACTTTTAAGGTGCTACATAAAAAAACTTGACCTTTAGATTTAAAAAGCATTTGCACGCATTTAACATGGGCTTCTCACACTTTCAAATTTTAATATAGGGTCATTTTAAATCTTGGGTTATCTTGTTCAGGTTTCAAGGTGTCACACTGTCCACGCTTCGGTTCCCTTTCGATAATACACTCGTACTGCGTCTTGCTAGATGCATATGGGAAAAAGCCTTTTTTCTCCTGAACTGAAGCTTTTTTTCATTCACGCAGTGAAACTGCACGGCCATTGGTTGGCTAGGCAGTGGAGCTGCACAAGCCTCTGGCGACGAAGCCCGCCAAGCCTGCCAAAGCCCGCCAGAATGGGCGGGGCATCTGGCTATATAAGCGGGCATTCGCCACAGGATTCTCAGATTTCTTCTCCTTCAGCGACGACTCTATGCTCATCGCTGATCCTGAAAGCCTGCTCACCATTGACATGCCTCAGCGCTGGATTGAGACCTCCCTGCTCGGCTGACCGGCTCTCTTCGCGCCTCAGCATCGCAGCAGTTCCGGTCCTGTTCCCCTGCTGCCATCCGGTGATTCTGAAAGAGCTTATTTCTAGCAGGTAAGCCCTAAAAGAGCAAATTCTAGCGACGTTGTTGCAAATGTCGCGCTGTGAGTGTGGCATCTTGCACGATGCAGAAGGGCAGTGAGTGCGTCACCTGTCTGGGCAGCCCCAGCTTCCACAGCCGCTACTTCCTCGTCCCCAAAAAGGATGGTGGCCTCCGGCCCATCCTCGATCTCAGACACCTGAATTACGCCCTCATGAAAAGGTCGTTCAGGATGACTATGCTGAAACAGATCCTTGCGCGAATTTGCTCAGGGGACTGGTTCTTTTCACTGGATGCATACTTTCTGGCCCCCGCACTTTTACGAAGTACATGGACTCTCTCCCCTCTGAGACAGATGGGAGAGTGTGGCATCTTGCACGATGCAGAAGGGCAGTGAGTGCGTCACCTGTCTGGGCAGCCCCCACGCAGAGACTGCTCAATCACTGAGACGGAATGCTCTCGTTGCCGGCACTGTGCCTCCGTGCTCTCTCTCCCCATTGCACTTGGATCCGCCGCAGAAGGGCAGTGAGCTGCGCGCTTACTGAGACAGAATGTTCACTCAGAGCATGAGTCTCGCTCTTCTCCACTCGCGGACGGCCTTTCACTGAAGGTAGCCCCGCTCTCCCGTTTCTCCTCTCTCAGCAAGCCTCAGAATTTTGCCAAGAGCTCATTGTTCCCCAGCCAGCGAATATCGTTCCTGGGAACATTTTTCGACTCAGCCCAAATGAGAGATGTAGTCACGCCGGAACGGGCTCTGGCCATATGGAGGCTGGCAACCTCCTTCGAGATTGGTACCACTCGCCCTCTCAAAGCGTTTCAAAGGATGCTGGGCCTCATTGCGGCGGCATCGCCAGCGCTACAGTTGGGTCTGCTGCGTATGCGCTCCCTTCAGCGCTGGTTGAAACCACGGGTTCCATCCCATGCGTGGCGTCACGGACACCTGCAGATCAGGGTGAGTCAGGCCTGTGTATCAGCCCTGACCCCCTGGAAGAACTCCCGTTGGATGGAACAGAGCGTGGCCATGGGGATGGTTCACAGAAGGACAGTTGTCACGACAGACGCCTCCAACTCAGGTTAGGGGGCGCTGTGCGAGGGCATACCGACCTTCGGCCACTGGTCAAAGGCGATCCGTGTCTCACACGTAAGGATCAGTGTCCCTCTTTACATCGAGCGGCTCTATCCTCCTAAGTAGATCGGAGCAGATGCTGCCATTGGCAACTTCGAATTGTGTGTGTCACTATGACTGCGCTCACAGACACGGGCTGCTTATACCACGAAAGCAGTCTGCCCCTGTTCGTTCGCAGAAGGCATCCCCGCCTCCCTGCAAGGATGCTGGGCCTCATGGCGGCGGCATCGCCAGCACTACAGTTGGGTCTGCTTCGTATGCGCCCCCTTCAGCGCTGGTTGAAACCACGGGTTTCATCCCATGCGTGGCGTCACTGCAGATCAGGGTGAGTCAGGCCTGTGTAACAGCCCTGGCCCCCTTTAAGAACTCCCGCCAGATGGAACAGGGTGTGGCCATGGGGATGGTTTGCAAAAGGACAGTTGTCACGACAGATGCCTCCAACTCAGGTTGGGGGTACTGTGCGAGGGCATATGACTTTCGGCCACTGGTCGAAGGGGAAAAAGGCTTCCACATCAACTGCCTGGAAATGCTAGCAGTATGTCAAGCCTGTCAGTTCTTCCTGCCAGTCCTAAAAGGACACCATGTGCTAATCCAATCGGACAACAAGTCCGTGGTGTCCTACATAAATCGCCGGGGAGGCCTCTCCTCGAAGCGTCTCTTCACTCTGGTAGAGCGCCTCCTGGAATGGGCTCAACCCAACCTGCGCTCGCTGAGAGCAGCGCATATACCGGGCAAATTGAACCAAGGAGCAGACATGTTATCAAGGAGCAATGTCCCCTCAGGGGAGTGGACGCTCCATCCACAAATGGTTCAGAGGATCTGGGAGATCTTCGGCGAGGCCGAGGTGGACCGCTTCGCCTCAGAAGACAACTCTCACTGCCCAATTTATTACTCAGAGACCAGGGACGCGTTGGCCCACGATTGGCCCAACCTCCTTCTTTATGCTTTTCCCCCGATCGC